CTCTTGCTATCAATTTGATCTATTCTGAGTCATCCACCCAGGTCGATACATAATCTTCAGAATAATTCCTTCCTCTCTCCTCTCTCTGCTCCACTCAATTTCCTCATACACAGTCTTCTTTATTTTCTAACCCTCCACCACCCTATTACTATAAATCCTTATTGCCCTCTCACATCCCCACAGTACTACTTCACTCAACACTACTGCCTCTTCTGCCTGCCCTCATCGTCTTCTGCTTCCACCTCTGCAAGCCTTTTGATTACTCTAATTAGCCCAGCCAAGTGGGATCAATTTTTTTCCGATTCCTCCTACAGCCCCTTACTCTGACAATACCCTCTTCTTCCAGTAGTGTCTGCAAAGACATGGTGACAAAGTTTGAGTCTGCAACCATTCCAATTATTCATGCCTTGTCACAGTTACATCTGAGTCCCAGGCTAGAGACTTCCATCTCTAGCAAACCTATTCCTGTCGAGCCACACTCCTCCCTTAATATTTGTACTGGAATTATTTCAATCTCCCTGGTTGACTGCCTTGTCTACAAGGACTGGTCAAATTCTGAAAACAACCTGCTTTTCTGCCTCATTGACTATAATGCACCACCAGCACAGTGCTACTCACACCCAAGAAGCTGTCATAAATCCTACACCAAAATTACCTTCCATAGACATGACCTCCCCCATGAAGAGTATACTGCCAAAAAGTGATGCTCTGTCTGGCCATATAAACCTCTCCCACATTGTCAGAAATATTGGTGTGTTGGTCACCCTGCCATGCACTGTCACTCCACAGCCTGCTGCCCTCTATGTGCCCAGTCTGGTCCTGAGCATTTAAATTACTCTGCACAAGCATGCATGTGTGCCAATTGTGGTGGCTACCATAATATATTTTATAGGAGTTGCCCTGCCTAAAACTTTTGGATTCAAACTTGGCCTCACTCAACACAGTCCAGAAGGCATTTAACTCACTCTTCTCCAAAGTTCCATTCCTCTCCCTTCTTCCCAGAATGCCCTTGCATCTACCACTTCCCCAGTGTCTTCCTCTTCCTCTTCCTCAATTTACCTGTTTCACCAGGCAACCTAAATGTTTCACACTATCTTTAACCACATTATCTCCTACCCTTGCCTCTTCCTCTCCTCCTCGGACGTTTGTCTCCTCTCCTACTCCTCCTCCTAATGAGAAAACCTTGATTTCTTATACACCCCCACCCAACTCCCCTCCAGATCTCTTAAGGACATCCAAAACTTCTTAACATGACACACAAGAACACTCCTCTCCATCATCCACTCTGCAGTCTCTCTACTCCTATTCCCTCTACATTCAAACCTCCATCCTTATCCTCCTGTTTCCCCTTCCGGTCTTCTTCCCAACACACCCCATCTGCCCCTTCTCCATCTTCTTCCGCCCCTCTCCTTTTTCTCCATTATCCCTTCTGCTCCTTCCTGGAGGCTCACATGACTCTCTTTTGTCAACAGTGTCCTTTCCAAGATCCTTCCCCTCCTACTGTTCTTCCTGATACTTCACCTTCACCTTGGTCCCTTTTCTCATCCCTTAGGTTCTACTTTTCTGACACCTAGTTCTACCCTTGTTACCCATTGATTGCTTCATAATGGCTCATCTGTACAGTGGTTCTCATGCACTGTTCCTCTTTCAGTCACACACATTCTGTTGTCCTATCCCCACTTCACTGCAGCCCATACCTCTGCTAGTCTTCCCCTGTCCCCAATCCTCCCAACCTGTTGGACATCCCCATGGAATCCCCAACTTTTTCCTATGACAATTTGTTCCCTTTCCTCTGATGCATAGGTACTCTCCATTTGATCTAATCATCCTTCCCCCTTTAACTTTCTCCATTTCACCTCCCCTCATCTTGACCCTTTTCACTACCATACTATCCTATAGTGCTGTATAACTTTTGATGTCTAACACATTTTGTTTTAATAATTTTAACCCTTTTCCCACTTTCCTAACGTGTTCTGTTCCACTGGCACAAAGGCTTTACCATACATTCATATTACTAGTTCCCTGCAGTGCCTTAAACTATTTTCCTTTTTGGTATATTTCTGCAAGACAATTTTTCAATCCATATACCTGGATTAGATATAAAAAACAAATCTGAAAAGGCAAAATGGATGTTGATGTCCATATGCAGTAATTTGCTCTACCTTTATTTTAATTTAGTTTTTTCTCTCTCAAGACTCACTCTTTCACTATTACATGGTTCTGTGAAAGCCTTAATAGTATCTCTTTTTCATGGTCACCAGCCTTTTAGGTTTAACAGTATAGTCTGTTTGTCTTTTTGAGAATTACCTTTTATTGTTGTGACCAAAGTATACAGAACATTGCAGAACTTTGCTTATTCAGTACTTATGTTTGTTTTTGAATTTCCATAGTTGATCGTGATTATTGACAGTATCATTATCGTTTAGTTCTTTTCATAAGCTCACCTCTGTTTCCAAAATGTATAGCTTGTAGGAAAAAATATATTAAGATACTTCTATATCATCTTTGTTTATTGTTTTAGTATTCTTAGTAATTCTCTTTTTCTCCAGAGACGAGGAAGTCGACCTAGACGAAGGTGGCCAGCACTTGATGCGCTACAAATCCGTCAGTCACTTGCTTCATAACGGAGCCATTTCCTTAATATGAGAAAGAAAGAAGAAAATTATTAGCTTTATTAATTCAAAGATATTGTTGTTATTATTATTATTATGATAGGGTTTTCTGTAAAGTGGAAGTTCTTAAATCAGAATCTATCTTTTTAATATATTATATAATTGTCAAGGTTATATTATTATCCTGAATTCAACTATCCTTTTATTCAATATAACAAAAACACCTTAAAAAAATATAATAATAAAAGAAAATCGAGCCTGTGCAGACTTTGTTTTGAATAGTAATTGCATTATAAATATCAAAATGCAAATCTAAGGGGGGGAAATCTGCATTACAAGCCCTGGAAAAGGAACAATTAGAAAACGCACAAGTATACCTTTAAAGGCCTTTTCACTGTATTGCTCCTTCAGGGAATACAAGGTAAGAGATACATAGAGGTATATATATGTTTCATTAAAATCTCCTAGAATTGTGAAGTTACACCTTTTCTGTCAAGTTAGAGCTACTGGACTTAAAATAGACTTGAATCCAGTCAGTGTTGGGACCATACTCAAGAACTCTATCAGAACCCTATGTTTAACCCAATGCCGACGGGTAAAAATGTTTGGCAAGTGGACGTATGGATGGGGTTGTTGGTGCTCATCGGCAGTTTCCCGTTTGCGCCTGGCTCGATCGGTAGTTTGCAAGCGACATTTAGCACCTAAAAGCTTTTATTTTGCTATAATTTATAAAATTATTAAAATTTTGAAGGTTTACCTTCATTTAGGTGTCATTGCCTAAAATCTTTACCATATAAATGAAGCCACTACTATTGGAAAAAAAACACTCCAGCCAGTGGCGCGGGAATGGGCATAACATGATGCCACCCGTCTTTCGGTCCACAACAGCCATGGCATGTACGTACATGCCACCCGGCAGCTAGGGGTTAATTCTAAACAAAGTTTGTTGCTAATTATTACTTGTCCGAGTAGAAGTGCAATTGCCGGCAGGTTTGGGAACCTCTAGTGTCATGTACGAATATGCTATGCCCACAGTGAGTTTAGTTTATTATTGACATTTACACATTGATGACTCCAGATACCTTGTCACAAGTCTGCACAAGTCCAACCTATCTCATCTGTTTACCCTTTTATTTTATATTGATATTATTATTCTTAATAGCTGTAATGATTATAATGACAGTAATGATAATAATAGTATCAAATTTAACAGCATGTGGGAGAGAGAGAGGGGGGGGAAATCCTGAAAACTCGAGGAAGGGAATAATCAGGTGAGCCATGTAGACTACGCATTGACTCCTTGGTGGCTGAGCACTTGTGAAGCCATCTGTGCAGAGATACATTTCACAAAACAACAACAGACAATATTACATTTTCTCAGCAGCATTTGGTTAAACATTACATTTAGCATGTTGTTAGTTTTCTCTGAAATTGAATTTATAATTCAGTCATGGATGTTCCTTTTACCTAAAATATAACCATAACCAAAAGACAACTGAACAATATTTTGATTAATGAACATTTACATAACATGAAGAATAAAAATATTTGTACAAGTAAAGAAATACATTAAAATCCCATTGTTTACCATTACAGCCGTACAGCAAGCATGCATTAGCAATCCTAGAGAATCAATAAAAATGTGTTCTTAAAAAACTATGCTTTATACTGTGCATAAAAACTTAATTTGAGAACTGTCCAAAATGCAATATTTTTTTTTGCAACAAAGTGAAATTCATCCCCCCTCTGCATGGAAGGTTTTCCCTAAGAATTGTCTTCACCCTGAATTATCAGAAAGGTCTTTTTTCTAAGTTATACTGGGGATTTAAACATCAAGCACATGACTGAATCAACAGGCATGTAAGACAAACACATTAGCCGCTAAGCTCAAAGGCATTTTAACCCTGCCATGACAGGACTTGAAATTTCTCTGATGTAATATTCTACACCAGTCTAGACTTTGGGGCAAAGCCTAGGATGATGCTACAGCTGTGCCTGGAGTTAAAAGTTAACATACCATAATCCTTCTCCATGGGAAATCAAGATCTGGTAAATATCTCCAACACTAAACACTTAATAATAGCAATAATTAAAATAATATATAAATTTAAAAAGGTTTAAAGCTGACTACGTAAAGAGTATAGTCTTATTTTGACTGAAGCACCAAAGTGCTTACTTTGGTTCTTGCACATTGCCAGGTCCTTCATTACCACCTTGTATAGGCGCATATTCCAGTACAGTTTGTGTCCTTTCTCAGTACAGAATTACTGCTTCAGCACAATGCCAATTTCTTAAGTGAATTTCACCGTAAAATAAATAATATGCAAAATATTCAGCCTGCTAATTGGATGTGTAATAATGGCTTCTCTTGAAAACCCATGAAAAAGTATTATGTATATTAACCCAATAATAATAATATAAACATTGCCGGGTGTCCCGCCAGTGTAACGCTGTATCGGGGCTCGCGCTCCGATGCAGCAGCAGGCCACGGCTGGCGGTTAAGACAGACTCCCGCTGATATTGTAGCCGCCCGGAATCTTTTATTTTTGGCTTCAAAATATACCGGCGTTTATAGGTTAACTCAGTGACATAGGATGGAATCTCTAGCCATGGGAAGTGATCCTTTAATTCCAGGTGGCATGCATAGATGCCCCTAACAAAAGAGTTTGTTCTCTGTTCTGTGTGCTATACAAGTCTGCAGTTTTTCAGCTTTCAAACAATGGCCTTCTGAACTTATCTAAACATTTTTTTTTTCTATTTATTAGAAAGTTAAGAAAGTTTGGAAAGTTAAAAATTACAAATTACACAAAGAATTATTACCTCTAACAGGCAATTATTACAGTCCACTTAAACATATCTGATTTTTTATGTAAAAGGGTCAAATTAAAATACTGTAAAGACCTTAAACTTCACACAGAAACTAAAGGATCCAAAGTTGTTTATTTCTTGATGAAATATTCTCAACTCACTGCCTACGAAAAAAAGAAGACTGTTATGTGATACCCTCTTTTTACCAAAGTAACAGCCTTCATGACAAATATAGTATTAACATGTTATTAATGCCAGTCTAATAAATGTATCATTATAAGTAATGAACTTGGTCTGGAGAATTTACTTACACTAAACTAGTGGTTCCTTTGATCCTATTTCAAGGGAATGATGCAGCTGGAGCAATTTATATTAATCTTTACTCTGTTACAGGAGACAAGAAGACAGGGACTGAATATGAGTTCTCAAAAAATAATAATAAAGAAAATATATATATAAAATATGAAGGACAGAAAGAAAATGTAATGAAACAGGCATGGACCCATATTAAATGGCAGTCACTACATTTTCTTGTGTTCTCATTTCGAGAGGATTGTCTGATTTCAAGTTTCTGTTCTCTCTGTATTCTATCTCTGCTTTATTTCACCTAAAAACTTAAACCTTTCAGTAGGATTATATCTATAGCAGTTATGAAATGTTTTGTATGAGGTTGTCATCCAGTCTTCCCATCTGATGTTAATTCGTCTATAAATAATATAGGACCAGGGGATGAAGAGCATAACCAGAAAATTAAGATAGCATTTCACTTGGACATCTGTGAAGACTGATTGCATTGCCAAATATAGAAGAATTATATGAAGATGAATGGAAGCCATTAGCAGTTGCAGGTACACACTGTCCAGCGTAGAATTGTTTTGGTAATTTTGCTTAGTCCCCAAGTTTTCCTACCTGACCTCATCCGCTCAAGTTAAAGAAAATGCTACTTGTGACCCTATATGTCCTTTACAAGACTGGTATGTTTATAAATCTTTTTCTTTACATACTTTAAACATTGTTCATTACAACAAATATAAAAAAAGGTATGAAAGAGAATGAATATCTTCACAGCACAAGAGAAATTCTTGACCAGTTTCAACATCATCAACAGAGACACATTTGACAAGAATAGAGTCAAAACCAGTCATATACATCTCTTGTGCTGTTAAGATACTCATTCTCATTCATACCTTTTCTATATCTTACATACTCAGTCAATAATCTATGGTCTTTGTGTGATCATTCTAATACTGAGTTTGTATTGTACATTGCTCTTTGGTAATGTTCCTCCAGATATGACCTTATTTCTAAGATGGATCAGAAACTAAAAGCAATAAAAATACAGAACTACAGATGCTACTTCTATCTTTTTTTTGTAAAACTTTGTCCCTCAATATCTTTGTGACTTCATACTTAAATTTGGAGAATCATCCATAACTTTGTTTGTACCTTAATGTCCCCTATACTCTGATATCTGTAATATTGTGATTCTACTGTCATATTGCTCTACTGATCAATGCCATACTTTTGTGTCTGTTGATATTTTGAGCACTGTATTAGGTTGTAATTTGAGTAAATCTTGCCTGATATTAAGACCTTTGTCCGAAGTTTGTACATCATATCTGAAGCAATGGCATCATTTAAGAATGAAGATGGCAACAGGATGTTTTGCCAAAAGCTTCTGTTGTTAGCTGGAGCTTTGCTGCTCCTCAACCAGTTCTGTTGCATTCACTTACTGCTTTGTCTTCACTGTATTTTGTGATGTAGTTTATATATTCTAAATATGGTAAAACTAAAACTTCTTTAATAGCCTGTGAGGTAGAATTTATTTTGAAAGCATGTACTTCATGGTTTATAAAGATGTTCTACAAGTGATGCTCACATAATGACTGAAAATATCCTTTAAAGATTTTCTAATCCTTCAACCTGCAATATCTTGTCTGATACTGCACTCATGTACTGTATCATTGCAGTAAGGAAGAAGATCCCTATTTGGATTATTTTCCAATTTTGCCATTATTCTCCATATATTTTGCAAGGCTGCTTGTTAAGTTTAGTGCTTCAGAGATCCACTGTGAACTCATTTGCCCTCTGAGTGTTCACTTCCCACTTCCCAGGTTGCCTTTAGAGTCCATCAAACTTTGGATAAACCATTGGTGTTTTAACCCATTAACACCGGTATATTTTAAAGCCGAAAATAAAAGATTCTGGGTGGCTACAAAATTGGCAGGCGGGGCTGCCCTGGACTCTGCCCGCTGTTGCGTCGGAACGCAAACCCCTATATGGCGTCACACTGGCGGGACACCTGGCAATGTTTGTTTTTTCAGGTGTCTCATGTGTGGGACACCCTTCGTTACTGGATTAACAAACCAGCAAATGTGCAAATTTAGCATTCATTGAGATAATGGCACCCGGGCACTGATCAATGCTAGTTCTTAATCAGTGGGCTTTGAAAATACAAAATATTATCGAAATACTGTAAGAAAAAAAACAAAAACAAGAGAGAGCATCTGAAAAAGAGGAAAAATCTTCAGATGATCTGTGAAAAACCAATGTAAACTTCCTCAAGTTGACTTCTACTTGGAGAACCCCTCCATAGTGGCTACAACTTTGGTATTGCCCATCAAATACAGAGATTCCTTTGATTTTCACTCTTTTTCTCTCTTGGTTCCTTGATTCTTCTACCAAAGAGAATTCAACATTCGCTAAAATGAGATCCATAAATATCACCTCTAATTCTCCATAATCTTCAAAAAACGGAGCTATGGCTGCTTACACACCAAGGTGGTATGTCACAAGTGGCATGAAAATGAATATCCAGAAGTATATGAAACCTTTCACACAGAAATGGCATACAAATCGCACTTGGCACATGTGACATGCCATGCCACTTGTGTGTGAAAGGTTTCATATATTTCTAGATATCTGTTTTCGAATAACATGACTCATGCAGTGTGTCACCTTGGTGTGAAAGCAGCCTAAGATGTCACAATTCTGACTTACCATTACCACAGCCAGAAGCTCTTGGGTGCCACAGACCAAGTACCTCGGCATCAAAGCCAGAATGGCAGACGGAAGGAAGTGAGTACCAGCCACTATTTGCCTGTCACCATACTCATCAAACCTGGGGAAGAAAACATTATATTGTTGGGATCATTAAAGGAAGAAGCAACTTGAGAGAAGTGTAAAGAAGGCTAGAGGTATGAAGAGGAGGAGAGCAAGGATAATGAAGGAAGGAAGGAAAGTAGGAGAGAGGGAGAGAGGAAAAAAGAGAAAGCAAGTTGAACATCCATTCACTTGCCAAGTTTTTCTACTTGTCTAGCGTCTTCCTAGGGAGCAACCTACACCACACTGATACAAACATCCACTGTGATAAATCCCCTTTCATAGACATCAGCCTTTCTCTCCCTTTCTCTCTAACTCTCTCCCTCTCCCTCTCTAACTCTTTCCCTCTCCCTCTCTCTAACTCTTTCCCTCTCCCTCTCTCTAACTCTTTCCCTCTCCCTCTCTCTAACTCTCTCCCTCTCCCTCTCTCTAACTCTCTCCCTCTCCCTCTCTTTGTCTCTCTAACTCTCTCCCTCTCTCTCTCTAACTCTCTGCTCTCTCCCTTTCCCACTCCTCTCCTACCCCTCTCTAACTCTATCCCTCCTCCTGTAGCCAACCCCCACAACCTGTAGCGCTGCATACATCCCCCAGGTTGGGTCACTAAGGTCCACAGCCACGTACTCAGCACCTCATGTTAGCCGCCTCTCGAAGACTAATGCCAAGACTCGATTGGATGAGAACGGACAGCTCCCAGATTGCTCATTGGACCGCAGGCTCCCTTCGTTCCCGATAGCTGACACAGCTTAGCACTTATTAAGCTCTAGTGCCCAGGCTGAGATCAGCACTCACAAGCTAGCAACTCCAGGTCTACCCAGGCCTTAGCCATCAGGGGAGCCGCCCCAACTTTCTCCTTCGACCTCCAGCACCCAGCCATACCTGTGGGCACTCACACCCACACCAAACACTCCTTAATGAGAGGATTGACACCAGTCAATGGCAGATGCAAATCTATTGCCACACTCCCCCTCTCTCCCTCTCCCTCTCCCTCTCCCTCTCCCTCTCCCTCTCCCTCTCTCCCCCTCTTCTCTCCCTCTCTCCCCTCTTCTCTCCCTCTCTCCCCCTCTCCCGCCCTCTCTCCCCCTCTCCTCTCTCCCTCTCTCCTCTCCCCTCTCCTCTCTCCCCCTCTCCTTCTCTCCCTCTCCCCTCTCCCTCTCTCCTCTCTCCCCCTCTCCTCTCCCCTCTCTCTCTCCCTTCTCTCCCTCTCTCCCCCTCCTTCCTCTCCCCTCTCCCTCTCCCTCTCTCCCTCTCCCTCTCCTCTCTCTCCTCTCTCTCTCTCCTCTCCTTCTCTCCTCTCCCTCTCCCTCTCTCCTTCTCTCCCTCTCTCCCCCTCTTCCTCTCCCTCACTCTAACTCTTTCCCTCCCTCTCTCCCTCTCTCTAACTCTTTCCCTCCCCCTCTCCCTCTCTGCCCCCTCTCTCCCTCTCTCTCTCTCCCTTTCCCTCATTGTGTGCTCAGTAGTGCAACGGTAATGTTCTTGTCTAGCAACCATGCTGACATGTGTTTGATCTAGTGCGCTGCCAGTGTAGCAAAGGGAATTAAACTAAACTTAAAGTTAAAAGACTCTCTCGCTCTCGCTCTCTCTTCTTTTTCTCTTTCTCTTCTTTCCTGCTAATGTAGTGGGAAAGCAGGAAACCCAATGTGCTGGGATGGCATGACATACATGCCATGGCCATTGTGATTTTAGCTTATCACTTACACAATCACCAATGAGACAATTATTATTCCTACTTAACTCACCCTTCCTTGATTTTTTGTAAAGATTCCTTTCTTTTATTTTCTACTTATCTGAATATTCTAAAAACATTATGATATTCATAATGTCAATAAGAATAACACTATCAACAGTAATAGAATTAGAAAAAAGATTCTTCCCAAACTTCAAAGAATGGTTGATTAGGTACGACCACACCGGGACTTCTTACTGAATTCTTGGTAGCTCAGCATTTGTTGAGCCACTCATAAGCAACAAAATTCACAAAAAAAATAAAGTGGACTGTACCTGTACCTGCACACAAAGGGTTAAATGTCAACCAACCAATCAATCAAATGGGACTGACATCAAGAAGTGCACGGCGCCACATGCACCCGTCACTTTAAACTTTGGGATAACTTCTTGACGAGGCACCAGAATAGGGCTCAGGCAGTCTCAACTTCAACAAGCTTGGCTAGTTGCCCAAGTCATGACTTTGAAGGTCCTCCCACAGACTCCGACTCCTCCACATTTCATTCTCCCAGGAAGAGCCTGATAAGCAGGATCATCCCTTCAGAGTTCTGCAAAGTGTCTGTACAGTCTGAGTTTGCAGATTCTGATTGAACACACAATCATGCCATTTGTATCTTCTGCAAAAGGCATTTACACATGACTCCAAGGCAAAGTAGAGTTCCTGATTTCAATGCTGAACTGCAAGACTGGCAACATAAGAGCCTAGATGTTGTGTTCCTGTTCCTTCTGCATAAGGATTCTTGTTGAATAATCTGATATACCAGTCATGAATAACACAGCCAAGATATGTAATGCACATATCACCTGAGCAGGTTCTCCTATCAGACCCCCAAAATCCTTGATCTTGGTCTTGACCTCTAAACCTAATGGGCTTCCTCTCACTGTTAAATGCATCGAAAGCCACCACATGGGTCCCTAGACACTAAGACAGCAGAGCAACATCACTGACAGAGTCAAAGCCAGTGACCTTAATAATACCCCTTAGTGAATCACACAGGAAAAGGCAAGATATGCCTCCATCACTCTTTACAGCATTTTCTGTACCAGTAAATAGGTATATCATTATTCCCATAATTTCTGTCAGGATTCCTCTTAGTTTTATGATCAAGGCTGCAAAGAGCTAAGCAGGCCCTAATTCAACTCATGGATGAGGGTCATCTGGTCAGCACAGATGTTATAATTACAAAGTGACTGAAAGATTGAAAATTATAATAAGAATAAATTTAATACTTTTGAAATTGCTCAAAGCTCAATAATAAGCAATTTTGTAGTCCCCTTGTGTCTAACAGGCCTTGAGGCAGCTACCACGTCTACCCTCCCATCTCCCTGGTATGCTCAAATAGGCTAATGCTTCAGGGCTTGATGAAGTTCCAGACTGCCAGGACAATATGTAGTCCTCAAGCTGTAGGTTCATCACCAGACTTCAGTTAAAATATTGGTTGTCTTATTAGAAATTGCCTTCTTAATCTCAGTCAGGATAGAAGGTGCCATACAGACAGTGGGAACAAGGCACTGAACCCTTGATATCACCACTGCTAACTGTGAGTGGCTAAAGCTGAAACAACTCAAATTGCTCATTTCAATGTATTTGCACCCTATCAGGATATGGGATGATATGGCATCTGCTTAGTCAACTGCAGTCACGTAACACAATAATGATGGGCCAGAAAATCGCTCTCCAGCTCTTCTTCTGGGGGGTAAAAGCAGAGCATAGATCCTCTGGTCAGGATGCCCAGGACAGCTCACTAACCCTGAGAAGTTTCAGCTCACTCTGGAGGGTGGTTTACAGAAAATTGCTACTTCTGTTTTTTACACTTACCATATATGTCCTATAGAGCTCCTGGGGTGGAACACATTCAGAAGGATCCAGGGCATCCTTGTTGCAGCACTCCTGGCTTTAACTTCCTCTCAGTGGTTGGGAGGCAGGGTGATGACCTTGCTGGTGTGCGTCGTGCAGAGAATCGCTTGGCCAAACATTGCAGGCAGATCATTCTGGTTGGTGTACTTCAGAAGTTGCCTGCAGGACCAACTCATCTGCAAGACCATGGGCATGATCTTCCTGCTAGTATGGACTATACCACGGGCACTGGTCTGTCAGACCTGCAGGTACCGAAAGGGTCAGGGAGGAATACCAATTGTCAGTGTCCATCTTGTATCTCTTGTCAAGCAGATCTTCCTTCTCCATCAGGTCGATGACGGCCTTCATGCGATCCTTGTGATCCTACCCCATGCAGATGTTGATACCACCATATACTG